TCATGCGGTGCACCACGGTACACAGGTTGCCGAACGTGCTGGGTCCATCACCGGTGGCGCTGGGTCGGTGACCTGCCATCATGAAGTCCTGTACACGGCCCACGGCGGCACATGTGAGGTGCGCCTGGCTGCGTTCAATCGTCTTTGCAGTGTACTTAGAGCTGTAGTACGCGGCGTCACGGGCGCGGTCAATGGCGGGCTGTAGGAGGGAGCAGTCACCGTGTTCGTTGGGAGGATGCGCTAGTTGGGCAGCGATGTCAGCTGTGTACTCCCGGTCGACTTCGCAGGCCAGGGACATCAAATGATTGCAGCCGAAGGCGAGGGCAATGGCAGGCATGTGTGGCACGAGGTTGGGTGCCAGGCGGGGCAGCAAGAATAGGCCGGTGGTACCGATCCATTGAAAGGCTGTGCGGATGAGTCATGCCATGCCGCTTGCACGTCAGCCATGCCAGCCAGCCGTCAGCCATGCCAGCCAGCCAGCCATGCCGTCAGCCATGCCGCTTGCACGTCGAACTGTGGCTGTGGGTGAGGGTACTGCGTATGACGGCAGCGTGATGGGCACGGCAGGCGGTATGTCGCGATGGAGGCGGCAGTCCGCCGTTTGCACACCCCGCCAGTCGTTCGAAGTTGTATGCTGCAGGTGGGCAGTCCGCCTGCACTGCTGGCACGGGTAGACCGTGCTGCTGCGCTTCCGCATCAGACATACCCATGACCAGAGGCTGTGTCCCACTGTCCGGTGTCGGAGCATAGTATGGCGAGGGGTACCACATTTCGCACAGCGCGTATGCAAGCGCCAGAGCTCGGCAGTTGGGTCCACAGAATAACGCCTGAAGGTTGTCCAGTGCGAAGCACTCGAGGTGTGCGACTCCATGCAAGTGTAGCGCCAATCGCCCGCTCTGTTCAACCTTGACGACTACCTCGAATACGACCCCACAGAAGCAGTTAGGGTCAGTCTGCCGCATTGCTCCAGGTGCAAAGCCAAACAACTGCTCCACCAACACCTCTTTTGTGGCGATGAGCAGTGCCGCGCAGCTGTGCGGGTCTTCTTTGACGCGGCGCCACTTGTCCACCGTGCTGCTGATCTGGGTCGGACGACCGGCGTCGTCGAACTCTATAAGCTGACCAGAGGCTACAACAGCGCAGCCAGCATGCATGTCCGCCGGGTTGAGATTGAAGAACAATGGTGGCCAGCCGATGGTAAGGGCAGCCGCACGCATCATGGCCTTTGCACCATTATAGTAGGTATCTGTAAGGTCGATTTGCAGGAGGCTGGCACGTGCGCCATCCAGGAGGGCACGCACCACGGGCGACTGCTGCGACAGCAGCTGCCGTCGCTGGGCGTGACGGTATGGCAGCACCAAGATGTCCGCCATGGTGCGTACCACATCCCTCGGTACCCGTGCCGCTGGTCCACCCAGTCGTGGTCGCATGCGCAGGGCCACTCCTACCTGCGCCATGCTTTGTTGCCGCACGCTGATATCATACATTCGGGCAAGCAGCATTAAGTTGCTGCTGAACTGTGACCGTGGCACCCGCCGTACAAGGTGGCTGCAATATGAGGCGAACGACATACCCGGTGGCCGCTGTCCGGACAAACCATATGGAAACGAGACCGGGAAGCAGACGTTAAGGATGGCTGGGTGGCGGTCATCCAGGACCTGAGCGCCACGGCCGCCAGCAGCGAATGCGAGACGTGCACGCCCGGTGAGCAGGTCATGCACCACATTGGGCCGGTTATCAAAGTCGCTGCCGTCCGTCGGAACAGGAGCTGGTTGCGGAAGGACCACCTCCAGTTCATTCGGAACGCCCAGATCGGCATCAGCTGCGTTGGGTGGAGGGGGTGGATATTCATAAGGTTAACATGCCAGACGGGCAAATGGTGCAGCACTGGAATGATACTCGTGACGTATGCACAGGACGTGCCAAAGTCAGTCGATGAATATAGTAGGACAAACAGAACAAATAGGACTAATAGGATAATTTGCAGATTGTCACTTACCCCGGAGAGGACCAGGATCAGCTGGTTGGCGCACGACGACCGCGACAGGCGCTAAGCCCGTAGCACCAGCATCTATAGTGGAAAATAGGCACGGTTGTGCATACACCGCAGATGATGAGGTGGTAAGAAACATAATAGTTAATGGTCCGGAATCCGACAGGTGGACGAACATGCCCGGACGACACATACAGCAGCAGTCGTAGCATGTTCAAACTTGCAGGTACATACAGGCCGTACAATACGACAGCGTAATAGGTGCGGAGAAACAGTCGTGCACGTACCAGCCCACCAGGTTGGACAGCTCGTACCGTATCCATCACATACATACCTGCCATACGAGTGTCAGAGGCAGTTGTTCCGGCCGTGGGCCCGTCAGGACCTATAACAGATGTAGGAGCACAGAAATAGCAATGTTGGAAGGATGTGCGTGAAGCAGGTGGAAATAATTCCGTCAGCTGGAAAGGAACGCATGTAGGCTTGTAGCCCCCTTAGCTGCAATCGACACAGCATAATACAGTTTTGCATCCGTCTGTGAACCCCGTTGATTTACCCCATGAAAAGTCGCACCTGTATCAAGCGGTGATCCATAAGCGCCACCGCCCTGAATGATCTCACCAGCAACGTTTCCTTGCAACGTCTCCTGCAGCTGTCGTACACCAGCAGCGCCGGTACGGTCGTGCAGGAACGTACTCCGCAGTACACCAGCGACTTCTGGATCCGTAGGACCGATTGCGGAGTGCAGCAGTGCCTCTGGTACTCGTGCAACACATCCCATACGCTCATACTCCTGTAGAGCTTCTTCGTCCACCGCACCTTCATCCTCGTCATTATGCTGAAGGAAACGCACCCAGGCGACGATGACGTTGCCTCGAACTTTCAGGCCTGGTGCACGGCGGACGCGATCCAGCAAGTCCTGTCGGTCTCGGACTTGATCCACGCACACCACCGTGAAGGCGCCTGCCAAATCCGCAACACGTGCGGGCAGCTGGCCTCGTAGCATATTGGGGTCGGGGTTTACGACTGCAATGCCATGTGACTGAACGGCACACGGCAACACCTCGGGGGGGCGGCCCGCGAGATGCACAATCATTAGCTGCTGCATGAGACGGCCCCGGCCCAACAGCTGACTCTCCACAAACGTGGGTGCAGGCAACGGGTCGCCCAGGTGATTTGTAGATGGCACGTCGCCTGGATCGATTCGCGCCAGAGCCGCTTCAGGCACTCGGCGTGCTGCAATGAGAGTGGCGACAGGTGGGCAGCGGTTAGGCAGGGTTTAATGACAACGTGTATGACCCAGATGGGGCATCTCGCCCATACAAATCAGGCAGCCCGACGGATCAAAGGTGCACAACAGCATGAGCAAACGGAAAAAGGACAGCACATGTAGACGGGCCAAAGAAGTTGCTCACCCGTCAGTGCCTTCTCGCAAGAGGTGCAGATAGTGAATCGGTCAGGGCCAGCATCGTCACGGAACATGGTCCGGTTTGGCAAGTCCGCATCAAGGCGCATGCAGAATGGCACCTCCACACTCCGTGGATCCTCGAGGCAAGGTCGTGGCTGCACCCGTGGTGGGTATGGCTGCAATTCCGGTGGCACCTGCACCGGGGCTGTGTCCACTGCAGTACCTGCCGGTGAATCCGGCTCATTAGCCCCATGACCTGCACCATCACTGTCAACCGCCAACGCATCTTCATCCACGAATGCCGCTGGATCGGCGTCAGTGCCGGCGCCACCACTACTGCCACGCTCGGATCTGCTGATACGATACCGAGCTGGCAAAACCGGATCTGGCGGTGGCAGTGCAGCACCTTGGGCAGTGCAGGGCATGCGCCGCCAAGCCAGGGTATGTGCATGACGCGGCACGGCAGCAGTGCACATGATGTCGGCACGTAAAATGTCCACGTTGGGAATGTCCACCCAGGCACGAAGTGCTGACTGGTCTTCCGAACACTGTTCAGAGCAGATGGCACACACCCGTGAAGGCATGCGCCGATGCAACGCGGCTGCCATGCTGCTTGCAAGATGCAGGTGTTTTTCGTATGGTACCTGCCGCTCCACCGGGAGTTCACCGTGGGGCAAATCCTGCACGCACCCTTCCGGAATGGCCTCCAGAAAATCAGGCAGTGCAGGGCGGTGGCCCTCGTGCAAGCAGGGAAACCGCATGAGGTCCCGCAAACGCTCAAGCAAGCTGGCCTGCGGAAGCTGTATTGCATGCACCTGATCACGGGCCTGTGCGTGTGCAGCGGTGTTACGCTGCTGTTCTGCAGCCCTGCACTCCGGATTTCGGCGGCGCAGTTGCTCCGCAGCCCTGTAAGCCGGGTCTTGACGGGCAGCAGCTCGTGCAGCTGTGTCCCGCTGCTGCTCCGCAGCCCTGTACTGCGGGTTTTGACGGGCAGCAGCTCGTGCAGCCGTGTCCCGCTGCTGCTCTGCAGCCCTGCCCGGATCCAGACGAACATCCCGCAACTGTGCTGCATCCACAGTGAGGTGCGTGTTCGACGCAAGTATCCCTCTAAAATGCAGGCCACCAGCCAGTGTGCCCAGGCGCTCACGACTGCGAGCCCCAGTTTGGTGGGGTGGATCATTTGGTCGGTCAGCCATAACTGACAAAAGCCGTCTTCAGTCGTAATACAGTCCTACAGTACCGAACTGACGCCTGTAAACAGCCCAGCTTCA